GGGCAATAAATGCTGCCTGGCCAGTGATGCCCTCATCCCGTGAATGAATAAAGAAAAAACAATGGTTAAAATGCGGATGTCACAGCCACAAGGAGGAATTATGGTGAATAGCACAGAGGTATTTAAGAGGAAACTAGATAAACACAAGAGGGAGAAAGGGATAGAAGAATCTCCCAATAGTTTGACATTCAGTACAAACATTCACAGACCAGTTAGGCTAAATGTCCCATTTGTCGCCTATACATTATTCACCATTCCACAAGAAGCTTTACGTCTCCACAATACATTGTATGTTAAATTTTTCAGCAACTTGAAATATCAAAGCAAAACTGATGCTAGCTGGTAATTTGTTGTACAATTCTGTGCATTCCAGGACGTACTCCAAGCACATTCCATTCCCCCCTCAGGAAGGAATCTGCAATGTAATTTAGTGGCAAAAGAAATTTAAAACCAAGTGCATGCTTACCTTGTTGCCCAGTGAAGAGGGGTGGAATTAAGGTCTCCACCAAGCTGATCCACAATCGCACCCTTTGAGATGTAGTATCTGAAATATGAACAACACCATTAACATATCAAGGTCAAAGTCAAATTCCAGAAGGGAGATAGAAGGTGAAGTGGTGCAATGAAAACAACCTCTCTCTCAACATTGGCAAAACTAAAGAACTGATCGTTGATTTCAGAAAGGAGGGTGGAGAACATGCTCCCATCTACATCAACAGAACTGAGGTTGACAGGGCAGACAGCATCAAGTTGCTTGGAATGACGATAACTGACAACCTGACGTGGGCTTCCCACATAAATGCGACAGTCAAGATGGCACAACAATACCTCTTCTTCCTCGGGCAGCTCAGGAAATTTGGCATGTCCATAAGGTCCCTCACCAACTTCTACAGATGCACCATTGAAAGCACACTGCCCGGGTGCACAACGGCTTGGTATGGCAACAGCTCTGCCCAGGACCGCAAGAAACTACAGAAGGTGGTGTGCACAGCCCAGACCATCACGGAAGCCAACCTTTCTGAAGAAGGGTCTAGGCCCGAAAAGTCAGCCTTCCTGCTCTTCTGATGCTGCTTGGCCTGCTGTGTTCATCCAACTCTCCACCTTGTTATCTCATCTTCCATCCATGGTCTCCATTTACACGGCTCGCTCCCGTGGAAAGGCAGCCAACATCATCAAAGACCCATCGCACCCTGGTAATGTCAGGCAGAAGATACAGAAGCCTGAACACACATACCAACAGGTTCAGGTACAGCTTCTTTCCAGCCGTTATTAGACTGATGAATGGATTCTCGCCGCAAATAATCTAAACTGCAATGTAACCTGTATGCCTCTAAGTCTTTTTGATCTGTTCATCCTTTGCTTGCTGTGATCCGCCTATACTGTTCGGAAACAAAAATTTCCATTATATTTCGGTACACTTGACAATAAAATCAATCAATCAGGTAGTACCAGAAAAACATTGACACATATCAATTTTCACATTTCTGATGAAATTAGGTATTTCAAGTTGACATATGCCAACATATCAATTATGAGGAGTGGCATTCAACTATGGAACCGGAACACTAGGGCCAGTAAGTGCAGGGACTGGGGAGAAAAGTGTGTCAGAGATATGCGTAGCACGGAGTAAGAGTAGGCGTGGGGAAGTCGTGGGCTCAGAGGGACAGGAGGACTGGACTGCATTTACTTCAATGCAAGAAGGATAGCAGGTAAATCAGATGAACTAACAGCATGGATAACTGCATGGAATTATATTATTGCCATTACAGAGACATGGTTTAAGGAGGGACAGGACTGGCAGCTTAACATTCCTCGATATCGCTGTTTTAGAAGGGACAGAAAGAGAAAATAAAGGGGTGGCGGTGGGCGGGGGGGGGGGGGGGGGGGGGGGGGG